AAGAGTCTTGTTTCAATTTAATGAATCACCCCCACATGCATGATCGCAGAGAAAAGGTCAGAATAGCACGAAGATAAAATTTTGAGAGCCAGGACAGAGTCAGGATGAGAGTTCTGGCCACATAGTTCCTCGTCTCTAAACTGTTCTTATAGTCACAATATTTATGATTGGTCAAGTAAATTTTTATTTAATAGTAACACACAGAATGTTGGCGCTGGGGAGATTTACAGATGGTAACGTTACAAAATATTACAACTTTGCTCTTGGAGATGGTCATTGCCTGAGACTTGTGGTGCAAGAGTTAACTTTAATGACGTGCAATTCATTCATGGGTCATTAAATCTGAGTTGGGCAAAACTAAGCTTGCTCTGGCAAGTTTTTGTTTATTTTAATCTGCCAGTGCAGCTATTTAACACCACTGAATGCATTTTAATAATGGTCAGACAGGGAGATGCCATGTTACATATGAATGAAGAGAAGACCACTGACCCCCAAACCTGCTGCAAATTGGTAAGATCGTGGATGAACTAATTACTGTACTCCCACCCTGATAACCTTCAACACTTGCTAATCAAGAAAGTCTTACAAATACTCAGATTCGCCAACGTTTGAACAACCAACTCTTACAGTTGAATAAAGATATCTTGTGTGCCTCTTAGTTCTTGCTTCTCCCACAAAAGAAACATCTTTTCGACATTTACATTCAAGATTGAGGGATCTTCTGTTCCAATCAGTTTCTTACTCTAAAGTCTGTCAGGTATAAACCTAGCCTGTCCAACATTTCTTCCAAAGACACCTTGCAATTTTCAGACTTTAGTCTGGTAGATGTTCTCAACTGCTTCCATGGTCCTTACATACTTCCTCTATTAAGCTGACCAATACCAAACTTCAGTACTGTGTTGTCTGTGTGACCAGAGCATAAATTCCCTACTTTCATACTCAAATCCCTCATGATAAATCCTATCACTCCACTAGTTTTTCCTGCATATTAACCCTCTGCAAAAATGGACAATTTCACCTCTTCCCACATTAGCCACTATTCAGAAATTTGCCCAGTCACTTAACCTTTCTGTAGCTTCCTTACATCCTCTTCACAACTTATTTTCCGATCTGTCATCAGAATATTTAACAGCCATACCTTTAATCCCATCATCCAAGTCATTCATATAAACTGTAATGAGTGCAGGCCCAGCACTGATCCCTTTGGCACACCACTCATTACTCTTGCCAACAAGATAAACCACTCCTGTTAACTAGTCAATCTTCTATCTATGCCAAAATTGCTATGCCTTACACAGGTGATCTTTAATTTCTGCAATAACACTTGCTGCAACCTCATCAAATGCAGTATCAATGTGATTTCCCTTTCATGAAATAACATTGATACTGCTTCATTACTTGGAGCTTTATAGTTTGTTATTTTCTTACTTTCATTTGCTCTCACTTCCATTTTCTGATTAACACCTATTTCTGGTATGTTAGTCACACGTTCTACACTGATATTTTGCTTATCAATCAATCTGCCATCTCTTGTAATGAAAAAGAATTAGAAGCAGCAGGGACCACATCTCTCCCTCCTCACCTAACTCCATTACTCACCCAACTCCCAGCTCTCAAGCTAGAAAAAGTCAGACCAAATCCAACTGAGATACCATTTAGAAGCACTGAATTAGCTCAGTCCCAGGTACAGTAAATATTTAGGCTATCTTAAATTAACTTCAGCTGCTCTCAAGTAGAAAGCATTTATATCCCTGCTAAAGCAAGGATAGCAACTCACCTCAAAGACAGTTATTTGCAAAAAGAAATTACATTTGTACTCCAGGATGTCAAGTAGTCAGCAATCTTGAGGTCTGTCTTGTCTTTAACTCGAAACATCACCAGCCTGTTCAGGTAGATTCAAAAGATCCTACTGCAATACTTAAGAGCAGGTGAGTTATCTTCAGTGGCCTGGGCAAATATCTAATACTTAAATCAAGATCACAAAACAGATTGTCTGGTCATTATCACACTCAATCACATTTGTAAATCTCGACGATATAGATATTGGACTGTGAAGTTGACAACCAAAATGGAAGAAAAAAAGCCTTTACCTGAATAAAGCTGCTACACTTAATTCAGCAGTGCAATGTCAACAATAAGTTAACACAATTAGGAGCATCAGAACACTTTCACAATAAGTCAGACAGCAATAGGTGGATGTAATTGAATTCCCCTCTCTACTGAACATGTTGGGTAGTTTTAAATCTTCAATCTAATACAATGTTAACATGCTACCTAAATCACAGAATCAAGAAAATTGACAGTTGCATCTTAAAGATGTGCACATGCAAATATGGTCATGGACAGGTGATCAAGGAAAAACCAACTAACTTTTCCTCTCTCCATTCCTGGGACACTGAAGATTAACAATCCTGGATGGGATAGTTAAAGCAAAGCAGAGGCCAAACCAAATCTGGGATCTTCCTGACTGTATTCAATGCACTCAGCCATTGAAGTTGTGGTATTTAAATCTCTCAGACTGTTAACTTTGCAAGTTTGTTGTTTAGGAGTGAGTTCTTGTTTCACGAGTCAAGGACTATTTCAAATATCACAAATTCTGTAGAAACTTTTTAATAGAAAGACAAACAGTTTTCACTCTTTTTAAAATGTACATTTAATTCTACATAAAGGAACTGTATAGTACATATTCAAAGACAACCATCTTTACGCTAAGAATTAACAATGTTCAGATGACATCTTTTCCCCCTGGAATTGCAACTGTACAGAACTGCATCATCATTGGTCGAATACA